GCTGTCTTCTGTGAACAAAGAAGCTACTGTCTATCAGTCAATTAAATGCAGTCTTTAAGCAGAGGCTGCGAAGTCCTCAATGGAGAGAGCCCTGGGACATTGTGGCTGATGATTCCTTTCTCTGTACTGTACATCACACTCTCAACTGCAGTCCCCACAGAGATGGAATAAAGTCATGCATTAAAATATCACTTGTTGATTTGTTTGCTAATGAAGAGCCATTGAAATGTTTGTGTATTTCTATGGCAAAATTGTTGATAAAAGGGCCTGCTTGCCAGCATATTTTAAGTCCATCTGCTGTGAGTGCTTATTTAAGAGTTATTAAAATTAAAGTCAACAAACAACAGAATTAAAAAAAAAAACTCTGAGATAACAAGCGTTTTCTTACTATTTCATCAAATTAAGTGAATCAAGGCAGGAGAAATAGAGAAATGGTATCATTTAAGTTCACACTTGCATTGTGTTAATTCAGATGCCTTGTTTCCTCTGACATAAAAATGTGAGTCTTCTTCAGAGTTTTGGGGAACTGCATCTTTTAAGTATGAAAAGAGATAACAGTCTCTTTTCATACTTTAAGAAAACATTGTTCTTTAAGAAAATAATGTTCTTAGAAATTTTACTTTTTTCTTTAAGATGAATGGCATTTTTCTAGCGATTTATCTAACTTAGCGAGCACTTGTACGAGTTTTTCCACAGAACATAGTGAGGCTTTTTAAACCAAACTAATGAAACGCCTGTTAGACGTACATATCAGACACAATCTTGCAGCCACATGGAACATACAGAAGTATGACTTTTCTTCTCCATTTGTTTCTCTTTATGTTTTCTTCTTCCTTTTCTTTCTTTTTTTTTTCTTAGCATTACTTTATTTCCATGTAAGTAAGTGGCGGGTGACATTTTCTACTAGACAAGGTTTTTATCTCTTAATTCATCAACCTAGTATCATGGAGTGTTCACTGTGTATATAGCGTATCTTCACTGGAGTTCTCCAGGCTTCCATTAATTGGCTTTATGTTTTAAGAGTACATCTGTTATTGAGCTGAAGGTCTAGAGGTGGAAGACTTGGATAATATTCTGACAGCTCTCTGATGAAATATTTAGCTATGGCTCTGTTATTTGAAGGGATAAATTTGGAATATTAAACAGAGGCCACTGAACTTTGAAAGGAGTTCCTTCTTTTCATCAGACTTTGTAAAGAGTAAGTAAGGCTTTAACTATAGTTTTCATGATTACCTGACAACAGGCTGTAAAGAATTAATTCAAGCCATCATCAGATGGCTGTATTTCTTATTTCTACCCTGTTATTCCAAGTCATTTTGTTAGAAAAAGCTTAGATACTCGGAGGTGTTCTATAATAGAAATGAATTTGAAACCTTTTCATTAATTGGTGATTAATATATTTCAGGATTAGTTTAAGCAGGGCTCTACCTCCTGCCCAGTCAAGTATGTTCTGGTTAATATCCAATTATCTGCACCTTCGTAGTTATTATGTCTTAATATTTCGGATATGATAACCAGAAACTTGAGGGTAATGCTAATGAGAAGCATAGAGCAAGAATTAACCAATGACATACTCAATGATCCTTGGTGAGGAGAGAATCTCTTTTTTTCCCTGTAACACGTTGCCTCGGCATCTTTTGAGCACTGACTGAAAAGTAAGACTTTCAATTACGGCAGGCAAAAATTAGAAGAATCAGTCGTTCTCTTTTCAGTCATATTAACCTGAATTTACAGTGTCACGTTTACCTAGAAACATGATTTCAGTTCATTTTATGAGGGATGAAAATAGAAAATAGAGAGCCTGTTTATATTTTCCAAACAGGAAACATCATTTTCTTTATCTTTTCCTTTTAGCAAAGCCACAAGTTGTTACACTCTCAAAGGATGTTTTAATTCAGATTAATTTGGGATCTCTTTAATATTTCACTAAGGAAACACTTTTTCCTGCTATATTTGCTTCTCTTTCTCCCCAAATTTAGCACCATGCTGCATTCAGGTTTCACCTCTTTGGTTTTTTTTTTTTTTTTTTTTTTACAGGTCAATTCACTTTTGAACAATCTGACTTAGCTCCCATAACAGTGCCTGCTAGGGTGGGATGCACTGCTTCTAACCATGTAGCTTTAAATAGTGACTTTGTGCATTGCCCCTTTATATGCTGTATTGTAATGAAGCAACATCAGTAAATTGCAGTGAAGGGTGATTGTTGCACAGGGATGACAACTACACCTTGGGGTCCATTTGCACCAGATTATTCTTTTTATTGTTATTATTACTTCCCATCTTCTTTACTCTCTTGCTGCCAAACTTGCTGTTGGCCACCAGTGCAACACGGAGGGGATCTTGAGGAACACTGCAGACATCATTTTTTTCTCTTATTCACATACCAATCACCATTCAGTTCCAAAACCAGATACCCTGGGTGGTTTTGCAGTTCTTTATCGATGCCTCTTTGTTGACTTCATTTATAATGTCTCTCATCTTCATCTTCTTAAAAGAACAAATTTCCTATAAATAAAAGTGACACATTTCTTTTCACCCATTTTGTATAGATGTTATAAATCTGTAGTCAAAATGATCAACTATTGCCCATCCTAATTTGTCCCTTTCCCCGAAGAGGTTTGATAATTCATTTTAAAATAGAGGTCTAGATGGGATTATTTCTTAAAGAAAAGATTTGTATTTTCAGTATCTTTTTGGGTTTCCTTAAGAGATAGATAAAGTCATTATGAATATTGTATACACTAGTTGTTTTCTTTACAAAATAGCCTGTTGCCTGCCCCGATCTACTGTTTTTACCCAGTAACTAATAGCAAAATAATGTAGATTGAAGTCAGAGATTCTTCACTGTTATTGAACAGAATTGTGAACAAGCTTTTAACCAAGGGATAATTAGATGTGTATTTAGGGGCACTATTACTCCTTTTGTTGTCATAATTTTAGTACCTGTGTCCATTTTTGTTTTCAAATTGTTAGTGCAGCTGTTGTTTTGTTTTTCTCTCTCTGAGGCTGGGCTACTGCGCAGCATTCAAACTAAAATCCAGGATTAGAACTGACACACCTTCAATAGAACTATCAAGTCTTTTAAAACTGCTTGGCCGGTGACGCCAGTCCCACGCTATTCAACCGCACACACTTCCGATTGTGGGCCAAAGAGCATTGATTTTTAGCTGTCATTTCTAGTGCACATACTGTAGAATTGAAATTTAAACCTTAATCCACTCAGTAATGCAATTAATTTTTAATGTGCAGTAATACTAATTGAAATAGCCTGAATTTAGTAAGTCACCACAAGACATTTTCAAAAGCAAGAGTCTCCACTGAGAACTGGGAGGACAGATAATCATTGTTATAGTGTTTACTGAATAAATGTGAACTCTGCAGGCCTCCAGTAGAAAGGGGGTTTTCTTTAAATGAGTCTATATTATATCTGTTCAAGAAAAGAAATACATTGTCAAAGAGAATTCCTGCTTTCTATCTACTGTGACAGGTTAAAATATTCTATTAACTTATTCAAAAGGCATAATTGTAATTAGAAATATCTTAATGTACACAAAATAATATTCACCCATTTAAAAAAAGCAATTATGAGTAGTTGCAAATGAAGTCACCTGCCAACAGTGTCACAGTCAGGCAAGAGTCTCAGTGGGTAATCTCATTATATAATATGTACTTGAGATATTATTTCCAGATTCAATGAATATATGTGCTGTATCAGCTGTCTATAAATCAGTTGCCTTGTTTTGATGTATTTTTGGTGAAAAATAGACCCTCCCCTACCTGTTTCAAAGCTATGTTCCTTTAGCTTTTACATATTATTTCAAAATGGCCTTTTAAATGTTTCGTGAGGGTCTTTTTTTTCCCTAGCCATAGTAAAGCAAATTTTGAACAGTAAAATCAAATAGGTTTTCAGTCATTTCTACACTAAAAAGATTCTCTAACCACATTTATCTGCTAGTAAATGAGGACTTTTTAAAATGCATCAGTTCTGCTGATGAATGGGCTTGTGGAGTGTTTCAAATGAGCACCAGCATTAAGTTGAAGAAGGCAAACCCTGTAGATCATGCTTTCATAGCTCTCACATTATACTGTTTAATACACCAATAGTACTGTTAAATATTTAGTAAAGGTTCTCTTATAACCCTACCATCTATTCAAATGGGATTTTAAGACATTTTTGCAGCACATAAGTAAAAATGATGCTGGAGAACTGGAGGCAGTTGTAGCATGGCTTATTTTCTAAATGAAGTGTAGGGTAACGTGGTACAAATGAGTTCAACAGATTCCCACCTACTGAATACCTCAACCAATTTACATTCTTTGGATTAAGGGTTCAAACTGGCTTTTATTTTGTCACTAAGTGAAAATGCTGTTAGCATTAATTACATAGAGTACTAACTTGACACTGTAGCATGTTAGTAAGAAGACCTTAATTGTGATTATTTTAAGCTGCCTAACATCAGTTGAGCTTTATAATAAATATTTCCTTTTTTTTTTTTTTTACTGAGTAGGAGAAGGGGAAGGAAGAGAGATGAGGGAAAATTGATTTATAGTCCATTCATAGCATATTATCAAATCAAATTGGGGTATAGTATATGGAATCTTTTCAGCCTTTAATTTGGGTATGCTGGAGCAAATAATGAGTATTAGATATTGTTGTACATATGGATATGATGCATAATGGACCACCTTTGTCAATTTTTCTATAATATTTGATAGTTATTACCCAAATAACAGTAATTATTCCTTTAATCTGGGATGAAAATTGGTATCTGGGAGCCTTATGCAAAAATGTTGCCAGGAAATAAGATGCTGACTTCATTACTGTCATCTTGTTGGTAGGCTGAATCCACATTTAAACCTTTCCATGCTTATCAGTATTATTAGTTTTGAAGGTGTAAAGGTAAAGACTGGTCGTTTGTTCAGATTTATATGAAATGTGTGTTTGATTCTTCTAGAAGCCTATTTGCTAGACTCTAATTTTCTTCCTATTTTATATGCAGCCAGTGACCACAGTATTCATTCAAACTGCACAGAGACACATCTCATCTGTAAAACACGGCCTACTGATCTTATTTGCTACTTGTATTCTCATAAGAAGAAACATAGGATTCATTATGATGCAATGGAAGTACATTTTGTTTTGAGATTATGTATATCACATGTATGTTCCTACCAAGAATTTCATAATAAAGAACGAATAAAGAAGATAGCTTTATGTATACATGAAGGAGAAGGGAAGGGAAGCAAAATGAGCGTCACATATAGGTGTGTTTAATATGCAGTGCTTGATGTATGTTGACCTCAGGTTACAAGAGTAGAAAATCCCATTTTCCAGCTTGTTTCAAATATAGTAAAAATGCTGCTTCAGTTGCTTTATGCTACTCACATTGGGGAAGGTGCTTATACTGTGATAATTATCATCAAGGAATATTAATGCGTTCAGCATTTGTAACCCAAAAACTCATTATAGCTTAAGCTGTGCATCATCTGTGAAGAGAGAACTTTGCCAGAATTTGCTCTTCACAGGGGTTGCCTCCTGCTTGCTGCGGAGTGGTCAGAGTACTGCAAGAGGTCACTTAGGCTATTTTTGAAAGCTGAAGTTTTGCAATTTTTGAATCACTACCTTCTGTCCAAAGAGCATATCATTCTTGCCTCAAAATGTCCTTCTTCTAATTGAATGCATGGTAAAGTGCAAACTATAACAATAATAATAATAATTAATAAATAAGAGGTAACTGCATCTCATTATGTAGAATTCAAGAAGGTCAGCACATGTATTCCATATCAAGATAATTGAAGTATTGGTGTCTTCTCTTCTGTCATGGAGCAAAGGGATTCATTTACACCAGTTTCTTTAATGCAGGTGCCTTTGGGTTTCAGAGAGAAATGCCCCCACTGGGGCTCCACATTACAGCCCTCTGGCTGGAAATTGTGTAAATAAGACTGCAGGGTCAGCCTTCGTTTTTTGGTATCACTGTCTATAATTAGTCTGTGATGACAGTCTTTTATATGAGCCTAAAACTGTTCCTGGGATCATTCCTCATACATCTAAGACGTCTATCCAATGCATAGGTAGATATTTTTGCACATATGTTTAAAATCATTCTCCAGGGGCATATTGACTTGATGGGAACTAGAATCTCTGGGTGTGTTAAGAATCCTTTAACTTCATCTGATCAAAATAGCTGGTTAGGCAGCTCCATTATAAATTATAGGTGGTTAGTTTCCTAAGAACATTGTGCCCTCACCTGTAGTGGGGCAGCTTGTTGAAAGGGAGCTGTGTGCCTGTGATGTTTTTACATGATTAAATCCCATTATTCTTCCCCCACTGATCCATTGCTTGTCATTTCCCATAAGTAACATTGCTCCATGCTGCATGTTATGGTTTGTGTGGGCCAGGCAGAGAGCACTAATACTCAGTTCTATCAGGCTGTCTGGCATTGCAGGACTGCTGTGTTTCTGAGGTCAAATTGTGAACCTGGCCTTGCTCCTGGGAGGACTAGAAAAATATATTTCATAACTTCCCATAGACCTAAGCGAAGAGGAAGAAGGAAAAACATGAAGCCCATAGGCTCAGTTTAGATGAGCTGAAAGGTTGGAATTTATCAAACAGGAAGGCTGACTGTTGCGTGGGAGGCTTCCTTACTGTGAGGGATCACTGCCGTGGGTGCAGAATCAGTCCTAGCTGAGGCCTTTGGGGGATAAGGTAATCATTCAAATAGCCCAGTAGGCACAGACACACAAGCTGATAATCTGGAGTAAACCTGCTGAAATAGGAATTTACTTACCTGTTAAAACCACTTACATGAAGGAATACGGATAGAATGAGTACTGTGCATTCAGGGCAGATACTGTAGACTGCTTCACTGAAAGTAATTTGTGCCGTTGTTGTTGTTGTTGTTTTGAATGGGACAGAACCTTTATTTTATGCGGCAGAGCACTGATACCACAAAATGGATGGATTTCCTGAAGCAGAGACAGGTTCTCAATCGTTTTGGGCTGCGATGCTGGCAGTATGGTGAAGAAATACAGTAGCAGCAGATCTTCTGTAAGGATGTAAACTTAATAATCTTTATGAATTTTGAGTAACTCATAACTCCACTTCCTCACCCAAAGAAACATTATGAAAAGATTGCTTCTAAATCCTTCAGACATTCTCTGCACTTATGATAGATGCCATCCTCTTTACCTTGAGGCATTGGAAATAAATGTGGGGTTTTTTTTTTTTGCAAGAGATAAAAACGTATACTTTAGAAGGAGCAAATTGTATTTTCATGTTTTAAGTTCACTGTTTGCACTTGATGTGGTGAGATCCAAATGTGAAGAATTGCTTTTGACATTATTTCTGTGTCTCCTGTATGCCAGAACCACTGCATTATTATGCTGAAATGTACCATCACATGGGATAAATGTGATGTTGGAAACCTGGAAATAGTATGTATTATATTACATTCTATGTCCAGGGTCCTTAGGATAATTGTAACTTCTTTAGTTACTAAA